TTCAAACAAAATAGCACAAAAAATTACGAAAAAATTATCCAAAATTAAATTCGCCCAAATTGGTTTTTAAAGGACATAATCATCGGTGGAGAATAAGTTCAACAGACTTCATTATCAGTAGAGAATAGGACCAATAGACTTAATTATCGGTGAAGAATAGCCTCGGACTAGATTCGTGATATGTAGCCTCCAAAATTGAAATAAAATAGGATTTTGGAAAAATTATGCGAAATCTATGATGGTAGGAATTTTCCAAAAATGGAACCAGAAGAATTCCGCCCGAATCGGTGCTTAATGGACTTAAACATAGTTGAAAAATATACTCAAGCCGAATTCGTGATCTCCAGCTTTCAAAATGCAAGGAAATAGGCCTTTTCAACAAATTCTCCCAAAATTTTTTGAAAATGTCATCCAAAAATAAATTCGCCCAAATTGGGGCTTAATGGAGTTAATCATCGGTGGAGAATAGGATCAATAGAGTCCATTATCAGTGGAAAACAACCTCGGGTGAATCCGTGATATGTACCCTGCAAAATTGAAAGAAAATAGGATTTTGGAAAAATCATGCGAAATCTATGATTGTACCCTTTTGGAATTTGCGAAAAATGGACCCAGAAGAAATCCGCCCCAATCGATGCTTAATGCAATTAATCATTGTTGAATATTAGCCTCTGGCCGAATCCGTGATATGTAAGCTTCAAATTTTAAGGAAAATGCCCTTTTGAAAAAAATCGCCCAAATAATTATGAAAATGACATCCAAAAATAAATTTGCCAAAATTGGTACTTAATAGACTTAATCATTGGTGGAAAATAGAATCAATAGACTTCATTATCGGTGGAGAATAACCTCGGGTGAATCCGTGACCTGTAGCCTGCAAAATCGAAAGAAAATAGGATTTCTGAAAAATTGCCAGGAATCTGCCAAATGCAGACCTGGTAGACATATGCCCAAATCGATGCTTAATGGACTTAATCATTGTTGAACAATAGCCTCAGTCCGAATCTGTGATCTGTAGTCATCAAAATCCAAGGAAATAGGCCTTTCAAACAAAATTACCCAAAAATTTACGAAAACGTTATCCTAAAATAAATTGGCACAAATCGATGCATAATGGACTTAATCAACAGTGGAAAATAGGATTAATAGACTACATTACCAGTAGAGAATAGCCTCGGGCTGAATATCTGATTTGTAGCCTCCAAAATCATAGAAAATGGGATTTCGATAAAATAGTCTGAAAACTGTGATGGTACCCCATTGGAATATGCAAAAAGTGGACCCCGAAGAAATCCGCCCAAATCGGTTTTGAGGAACTTAATCATCATTGAAAAATAGCCTTAGGCCGAATTCGTGATCTGTAACTTTCAAAATCCAACGAAAATGGCCTTTCAAACAAAATCGCCTCAAGATATTACAAAAATGCCATCCAAAATTAATTTTTTTCCAAATCGGTGCTTAAAGAACTTAATCATCGTTGGAGAATAGGATCGACAGATTTCATTATCAGTGGAGAATAAGATCAATAGACTTCATTATTGGGGGAGAATAGCCTCGGACAGGGTGATCAGTAGCCTCCAAAATCGAAAGAAAATAGGATTTCGCAAAAATCGCCCAAAATCTAAGATGATACCCCATTAGAGCTGCCAAAAATGGACCCAGAAGAAATTTGCCCAAATCGGTGCTTAATAGACTTAATCATAGTTGAAGAATAACCTCAACCTGAATCTTTGATCTGTAGCCTCCAAAATCGCAAGAAAATGGGATTTTGCAAAAATCACCTGAAATCTATGATGGTACCCCTTTAGAATCTGTTAAAAAAGGACTCGGAAGAAACCGCCCAAATCGGTGCTTAATGGACTAAATCATCGTTGAAGAATAGCCTCAGGCTGAATCCAAGATTTGTAGTCTTCCAAATCCAAGGAAAAAGGCATGTCAAAACAAATCGCCAAAAAACTTACGAAATTGTCATCCCAAAATAAATTCGCCAAAATCGATGCTTAATGGACTTAATTATCGTTGGGGAATATTATCAATAGACTTCATTATTGGTGGATAATAGTCTCGGTATGATTCCGTGATTAGTAGCCTCCAAAATCGAATGAATATGGGAATTTGAAAAAATCACCCGATATCAGTGATGGTACCCGTTCGGAATTTGCCAAAAATAGACCCGAATGAAATCAGACCAATCGGTGCTTAATGGAGTTAGTCATTGTTTAAGAATATCCTCAAGCGAATCCATGATCTGTAGCCTTCAAAATACAAGGAAAAAGGCCTTTCAAACAATATAACCCAAAAAAATACGAAAATGCCATCCGAAAATTAAATTGCACAAATTATTGCTTAAAGGACTTTATCATCGGTGGAGAATAGAATCAATAGAATTCATTACGGTGGAGAATAGCCTCAGACTTAATCATTGATTTGTAGCCTCCAAAATAGAAAGAAAATTGGACTTTGGAAAAATCGCCCGAAATCTGTTATGGTACCTCTTTGGAAACTGCCAATAATGGACCCGGAAGAATTCCGCCCAAATCAGTGCTTAATGAACTTAATCATCATTGAAGAATAGCCTCAGGCTAAATCCATGATCTGTAGCCTTCAAAATCCACAGAAAATGCGCTTTCAAACCAAATTGACCGGGAAATTACGAAAATGTCATCAAAAATTAAATTCGCCCAAATCGGTGCACAATGGACTTAAACATCGGTAGAGAATAACCTCAGGCCGAATTCGTGATCTGTAGCCTTCAAAATCTAAGGAAAAAGGCCTTTCGAAAAAAATCGCCCAAAAATTTATGAAAATGCCATCCAAATATAAATTTGCCCAAATCGGTACTAAATGGACTTAATCATCGATGGAGAATAGGATCAATAAGCTCCATTACAATGGAGAATAATCAATAACCTCGAGCTAAATCCGTGATCTGTAGCCAAACATATCGCGAGAAAATTGGATTTCGGAAAATCGCCAGAAATTTGTGATGGTACCCCTTTGGAATATGCCAAAAATGAACCCGGAAGAAATCCGCCCAAATCGATGTTTAATTAATTTAATCATCGTTGATGAATAGCCTCAGGCGGAATCCATGATTTGTAGACTGCGAAATTCAAAGAAAATGGCCTTTCAAACAAAATCACCGAAAAAATTACGAAAATGTCATTCAAAAATAAATTCACCCAAATTGGTGTTTAATGGGCTTAATCATTGGTGGAGAATAGGATCAGTAGACTTAGTCATCAGGTGAGAAAAGTCTCGAGCAGAATCCGTGATCAGTAGCTTTCAAAATACAAGGAAAATTATCTTTCCAAAAAAATCGCCTATAAAATTATCAAAGTGCCTTCAGAAAAAATCTTCCAAAATTAGCATTTAATAGATTGGCCTCATTATTGGTGGATAATAGCCTAAGGCCGAATCTTTGATCAGTACCCTTTAAAATTCAGGAAAAAATGCATAAAAACTGTGGTGGTATTAATTTGGAATCTTTCAAAAATAAACCTGAAAAAAATCCGCCCAAATTGGTGCTTAATAAACTTAATCATTGGAGAAGAATAGTCTCAAGATGAATCTGTGATCTATAGCTTTCAAAATACAAGGAAAATGGCCTTTCGTAAAAATGTCCATAATAACGAATTTCCCTCCGAAAAAAACTGCCAAAATCGACGATTAATAGACTTCATTATCGGTGGAGAATAGCCTCACGCCAAATTCTTGATCATTACATTGAAAAATCTAAGGAAAATGACATTTCAAAAAAATGCCTGAAATCCGTGATGTACCCCTTTGAAATCTGACAAAAATGGACCCGAAAAAAATGCGCTCAAATCGGTGCCTATTAGACTTAATCTTCGGTGCAAAATAGCCTCGGACCGAATCCTTGATCTGTTGCCTTCAAAACCTAAGAAAAATGGTCTTTCGAAAATCGCCAATGAAATTATGAAAATGTCCTCCAAAAAAATCTGCCAAAATCGACGATTAATAGACTTCATAACAGGTGGAGAATAGTCTCAAACCGAATCCTTGATCAGCAGACCTCAAAATCTAAGGAAAATGGTCTTTCAAAAATCGGCCGAAATATGTGATTGTACCGGGATGGCATACAGTCACAACCCACTTTGTAGCCATTAGATGTAATCCCTCTCCTGTCATTTTTAAATTGATGGTTGAGATGAAACGAAAGGTGTTTTTGGAGGAAAAAAACTTACCACACTCAATCATTCTCCCTAGTCCCTCCTGTATAAAATAATAAAATCATAATCTAACCCATACCAACTCTACAGCCGTTCACCTCCTTCTACCTTTCCTCTCTTCCGGGGACGTTGCCGCTGCCGCCACTTCACCTCCCTCTTCCTCTGCCATGCCCGCCACCACCCACCGACGCAGTTGCTCCCGCCGCCGCGAGGAAACCGACTCTTTCCTGCCTCCCCCTTTTCTCATCCCTATATATTCCAGGTCTGTGATTTTTCATATTCCAGATCTGGTTTTTGGTGTTAGTCTCTATTGATACGTTATCACTGCTCACTTATACGTAATAGTGACTAGTGGTACCAAATGATAGTGGTACGCTAACACTACCAGGTACCTGATGGTAGTGATACCGTGCACGTGCAGCCTCTCTGCAGTCCGCTTGAACTCACATGAGCATTCTGCTGTTAACGCTCAAGAACACTATCACGAATCCAGAGGTCAAATGTCCAAATCATCATTCTTTTGCTTCAAGACTTAATTGCACCGAGCAAAAACAGTTTGCAATTATTATGGTATGTACAAAAATGGGAGTTTTTCACGCAAAGATGGTGCTTCTTTTCTTGTAATTATGCTTTACGTACTTTTAAGAATGACTGCTAGCAAAGTATATTACAGACTGCTACAAAAACTTAGGGCAGGGGAGAAGAATTATCAGCTAGCTGCTCGGCCGTCCCATTCAGTGTGTTCGGTACACCTTTACTAATTCCAGGATTTTCTAGCAGAGACTAATGGACCTGTGGTTCCACCTGTTAGCCAGATGCCCCAGCTGCAGCGCGCTTGATGCATTCTCCCTGTTCTTCTTTGGTGAACTCCTCCAGCAATTCACGTTGCCTTGGTGTTATACTCCTACACATAAGAGTGATACACAAATTGTATTATAAGCATTCCGAATAGGGATGGCAATATTGACCTGATCCGATTTACCCGACCTGTTTGGCCTGTTTTGGGGCGGGTCTGACCGCCCCGCCGGGCATGGGTACCTCCCATCGACCCGACCTGGTCTGACCCGCCCCATTCTCGACCCGTTCTTGCCTAAATTACATATAATCTTAGTCAAATTACTTAGAATTCTCCTCTTATTACATTGTATTTTAGCTATAATAAAATTACAATTAAGTGAAAACCTCAATTTCTTCAATAATTTAACTAGATTTTATCATATTATGGTTTCTTTCTTGGTCTTTTAACATACCCATTGGGTCGACCTGCCCCGACCCGCGCCCCGTAATAAATTACCCGACCTGGACCCAACCTGCTATGGGGCGGGTATGGGTATCGAGATACCCGCCCCGGACCTGCCCATTGCCATTCCTAATTCCGAATAAGGGCCGAGCTTCTATAATATACCATCAACAAAAATTCAACACTCACGTTGGGATGCTGACGTTGAAGTGCACAAACTGATCGCCGTAAGAATATGAGCCACGTGCTTTAATTCCTGCACAACACAAACAAAAACCACACAGTAAAACCATAGAACTAAGTCACTCTACGGTAATTCATTCATATCAAGGCAAGATAGCTGCTATCAAGGTCCTACCTTTTTTCTTCAGCACTACTTTCTGACCAGGCTGGGTGCCTGCACGAACCTGAAAAGACCAAGACAGAAGACACCACATTGGCCAACTGCTTCCGAGTTCCGACTTCCAGGCCTTTTTCCCACTAATATTAATAAAGGTTTTTGAACATTACCTTAACAACGACATCTCCAGTGAGTGTCGGGACCTGGATTGTCCCCCCCAAAATTGCCTGCAAAAAATAGCAAAATTAGGTTCCATCAACCTACTCAAAGTAACCGCTAAATAATCCCAAGACACAACAAGACCTGCTAATATACATCTAATGACCAACGCAGAAAAGGTGAGAAAACAAGGGAAAACCTGCCTATAAACTGATTCTCTTATGTGAACTCATAAACCCAACAAAATAATCAGTAGTATCATTTACCTGGGTAATACTCATAACAGCATCTACATGTATGTTAGCACCTTCTCTGCGGAAGACTGGGTCTTCACGGACCTGGAGCAGCAAACACAAACAGCATTGTTGCAAATCACTCGAAATCTCCTTGGTGGCAGTTAGAGGAAGTATGCACCGACATCAGCCCATGAGAATGGGCTAACTACAAGAGCCACATACTAAGCCGTATCATTCAGAAATAAAAAGTATTCTCTACTTTGAACAGCCAGTCACCAGACAGCTTCTAGTATCTAGCTAACGAGACTAGAGAGAGAGCCATATCCCATCCACGGCGTTGCCTCTTGCACAAGCCGTGCCATTTAAGAGAGAGATGATATACGAGAAAACTTAGTTTTATGCACAAAGAATGTCACCTTTATGTTGACTAGGAGATCACCAGGCTGGTTTCTATCAGGGTCTGCTCCACCACTCCTAGGCACCTTGATTGTTTCATTATCATCAACTCCTACAATGAACAAGATTTAATACATGAGTTCTGGCATTTTAACAGCATTTCTGCATTTCAAGTCAAACTATGATCACCTTGCATTAAAAGCAATGGGGGATAAAAAGTTAATCAATGGAATATGAAGTATGGAAAGCAAGAAAAATCCCATTTAATGCGATTCTATGAACTATGATTGAAAGCAAGAAAAATCCCATTAATGAGGCTAGCATATAGAGTAGGAATGGCAATGGGGCAGGTCCGGGGCGTGTATCTCAATACCCATACCCGCCCCATGGCAGGTCGGGTCCAGTTCGGGTAATTTATAACGGGGGGCGGGTCGGGGCAGGTCGACCCAATGGGTATGTAATTTATGCAAAACACATTAGACATATTCGTTCTTTTCATTAAAAGACCAAGAAAGAAACCATTATATGATAAAATGTAGTTAAGTTATTGGAGAAATTGAGATTTTTACTTATTTACAACTTTATTATAGCTAAAATATGATGTAATAAGAGGAAAATTCTAAGTAATTTGACTAAGATTACAGGTAATCTAGGGAGGAACGAGTCAAGAATGGGGCGGGTCAGACCTACCCCAAAACAGGCCAAACAGGTCGGGTAAATTGGGTCAGGTCGAAATTGCCATCCCTAATATAGAGCACCATATTCAAGATTCAGAATGACGACAAAAATTTACAGTTCCATTAGGGAGCCACAAAAATAGAATAAATCAGAAGACTGGCATTGACTATTGAATGGATTTACTACATCAGTTTTGGCATTTTAACTGCATTTCTGCATTTCAAGTCAAACTATGCTCACCTCGCATCAGAAGCAATGGGGGATATTTCCACCAAAAAAAAAAAAAAAGAAGCAATGGGGGATACGAAGTTATTCAATGGAATATGTAAGTATCCAAAAACCCAATTCAATGTGATTCTAGGAAGTATGATTGAAAAGAAACCATAAAGGATCCTAGCATATAGAGGCACCACATTCAAGATTCAGAAGGAAAACAACATACCTGGTACTATATCCAATTTGATAGATTTTGACCCTCTTTTTACCTTGCGCCCTTGACATGACTTGCAAAAGCTCTGCAATCAAACAAGTCAGTCTACACACTGATGTTTAAATGTTTTGTTATGGGAACAATCTGGTCGAGAAAGATGGTGCAATTTTGCTTAAGACAGGTAACAATAACATAGAAGTTGAAAAGTGAAAATCCAATTGAGTTTCCACCATACCGATACAGTTTGACCTGCGCCACCACATTGATTGCAGGTGTGCTGAACACTGAAAAACCCTTTTTGTGTAAACACCTGCATAGTCTAACATCTTGTCAAGAACACCTGGCATAAAACCCTGGTCTCAGTGAAGTTACACTTTAGAATACTAACCGTGCCGGTTCCTTTACAGCGTTTGCAGATTTGAGGTTTTACACCAGGAGGTACACCTTCACCACCTGAAAATGGATGCATCCAAAATTCCAACTAAGCAAGTTTGAGAAAAGATGTCAAGTACAGTGAGTTGAAATGGTGGAAGCCAGCAGAGAAATTGTGCATACGGCATGTTTCACAAGGAACGTCAGTTTGAAATGTGATATTTTTTGTGCATCCCTGAACAGCTTCCATGAAGGATAGCTCAAGAGCAACCTAGAAAAACCGAAGATTTTTTTAAAGGAAAATAAGACATATTAGCATCAATACTAGAGCAGAAAACTAAGAAACACTGGGCAAGAAGGAAACCTTGACATCTTCGCCACCAAGCCGTTGCTGATTAAACATGTTGCCGAATATCTAGCATCAAAATCAGGAAGCATACCATTATGAACATTAATAGGAACAGATAAACATTATACAAGTTCTATAATGGAATTCTTCAAGTTCCTAGAAACTTTTGATAGACAACATTGGGTGTCCTGATTTCAAATACGAAAGGATTCTACACTGTTGACTGATCATTAGAGTTGTAAGATAAAGCAACATCATAACTGTAGAACCATTCATAAAAAGTTTCAATGAGTTAGAATCATCTCAAGATGGAACTCCCATGGAAAGGAAGCCTTTGTTATTGAGAGGCATAACTCAACAAGGAAAATGAAAAAGAATTCAGCCGAAGCAGTTCGAATTAACAGATAGTAGAAAGAAAGAAGCTCAAGAGCAAGTCATTACATCATCCATTCTGAAGAAGTCCCCAAATGGATGTTCAAATCCCGCCCCACCACCAGGTTGGAAACCATTGTCACCTTGATGTTCGAAGGCCTCATGTCCAACCTAAAAGAAGACCATACCACCAATATCAGAAAAAAATCATCACCAAAATTCAAAACCAGGAATAAGATACAATATTAAGACACAACATTGTACAACAATATCCAGCAAACAGTCAATGCAATATCATATCGAAGCCTTTAACTGACGGACATATACAAACTATCGAGCCACAGGTCCTCGTATATTCACGCTGTGAATATGAGTGGAAGTGGATGTGTTTGAAAGAGAAGAAACCAAAAGGGAATGCACATGGCATCAAGTTGCTGTTATGAAATTATGCTCCAAAAACTACATCAGCTACAAAAGATACTATCTACAAGTGTCGAGAGATTTCAAAAGAGAAGTGAAACCTGATCGTATAGGGAGCGTTTTTCTTCATCTTTTAAAACCTGAAACACAGAGACAATCATAAAATGTAACAACCATTACAACGATTACAACGACCATATAGTAGAGATAAAGGGGAAGCTGAAACATAAAAATGAAAAGCACCTCATAAGCCTTAGAAACTTCTTGGAACTTTTTGTGAGCTTCAGGATCATCTTTGTTACTATCTGGATGGAATTTCTTTGCTAGCTACAAATAATAGGCAGCACAAGTGTAAAGATATTAAAAGAGATCGCGAATATACAGGAAGAATTGCAGGATCAAGTTAAGTAAAAATGGGATTAAACAAGAGACACCAACTTACCTGATAGTACGATTTCTTAATGTCGGATTGAGTCGCATTCTTACTGACACCAAGTACATCGTAATAATCTTTTGAGCTGAAAGCTGAAAGGAGAAATACGACTTAGATTAGATTAAAGGTATAAGACTGGCCACAACCCAAAGGGTAAACGGGCAAAATAAACCTTTACCCCTAGCAAAACCTCTTCAACCATGGGGCAAACTAGCTTAACACGGGTTTAAGGGGCAAAATAGGTTGGTTTGGGTGGTGCGAAAACCAGAGGGCATATGGGTGTGGAGACGGCCACTCTCAAAAAGGGAGCCACGGTCATAACACAGAGGTAGACACGCCCCAGGAGGTTCGATGCCCTGGCCAGCCTTGCATGCTTGCAGCGCGCCACCCGGGGCCATCTACTGCTGCTTTTACTTCTTTTTTTGTTTAAGTTATTAATGTTAAGAGTTTGTTTTGTGAGTTTTTCAGAAGCGAAATCGATTTCGGTGTAACTTTCGTCAGTTTGATTGTTGTTTGAAGATAGAAAAATTATATTTAAAGCATAATAGATTTTATCAGTGAAACCCTCTTAATTTTTATCAATGAATCTCACCTAAACATAATAAAATGCATTTAAACATACTCAAACATAAACACTCTTAATGGGAAACTAGTCTATGACGTCTAGTGAAGCCTCGACTCCCAACTTGTTGAGGAAGTGGTTAACGTTCCTCATCCTCCATTTTCTCAAGTTCTAGTTTGAGTGTGTGGTCAAACATTTTAAGCTCTGCATGCTCTTGCTCATCCGACAATGAAAATTGAGATGAATTTATGATGATTGGTTGTAATAAATTTGTGAGAAGAGAAGAGTGGGTCGAATTGTTTTCCACTTAAGAAGTTATATTTTATAGAGAAATGAGTTAGATAGTAAATGAGTGATGTAAGTTGTTTCAAGTACTAATAATTGACTATACTTATGGACAATTTTGTATAAAGATGAAGTGAATCACTGAATCATTTATATATTATGAGTGTATGAGTTATTTCAAGTACTAATAATCAACTATACTCGTGAACACTTTTATATAAAAATGAAATGATAGATCACTAAATCACCTAGATAATAGATGAATGATCTTACTAAACTTCAATACCAATAATTGACCAATTAAGATGTGAACAACAATCAAAGTGATTAACTAATTGATTTCAACAATAAAAAAAGTATCACGTAAATTGATTAAGTTTTATCGGAATGTTCGTATCGAGTTGTTGTGAACAAATATAAAAAACTCAAAGTCCAAAATATGATTTATTAAACATCAAACCAACAATTATAAAACCATAGTTGCAACTGATTCAGTTAAGAGGAGGCTAAAAGGCTATATTTCCCCTGTTTTTATCCCGAGCTGTGGTTAGCCTAAGAGAAGAGAATAAAGGCCAGGTAAAAGATTGATCAGCATTCTGTGAAAAGAGATGTACCTGTGCCATGAATTGATCTTAAGCCATTTGGCTTTAAAGCTCCAAAAGACAACCGAAGTTTATAATTAACTGTACACATGTGGAATACGGTTATCAGTAAATGGAGTAATACCAATTTGGTCCAAATCTTTCTCTTCCTACCCAATACCACAGAGGTAATATATAGTTCACAGCTTCATATTCACCATTCTTGCAGAAAAAACAGAGAGCAGGTCTTACCGTTTTTGTTGTTCGGGAGAAAGGAATTGGTGGTGGCCCCAGCTTGATTCCAACCTCGAGTTGTAGTTGTTAATCCTCTACTATAGCTCCAATTGAGCAAACTTCTACAGACCTGAGAATTAAGCAAGTGAAGAATTATATGTCCCAAAAGAATGTGAGCCTATCCCAGCAAAAATCGATCTCCCAATTGCCCAACAACAGAAAACAGAGAAGAGAGCAGAGAAATAAAGAAAAGAATTTCACTTTGTCTTACATAATGAGGAGCAGATTGTTGAGAAAGCAATGAAGAAGAGCGGCGAGCAAGGGCAGAACCCACGAGGTAAACGCCACGAGAACGAACCATTATGTCGTTTTCTTTCCCCCTCGGATTTCACCGGTTCCCGTGGATTAAGCGATTTTCCCTGGGCAGTAGTTGGTTTAATTGAATTGAATGATTATTGGCAGAGGAGAGGAAAAAAATTGGAATTTTTCTCCGGTAATGGGATTGATTACGGAGATGGAACTTGGAAGGGAGAGGACGAGAGGTTAAACCCTAGTAAAGCCCTGGCCTGGTACGGGGGCAGGAGTACACGTTGTGATTTGGTTAAAGAAAGCTGGAAGCTTCTAGTCCTATAGGTTAAGCCATTTCTTACCAAATCAACCGATTCGAGCCAATAGGGTGTTCAAATGGTTACCATGGTTATAACCAAACTAAATAAGGTTAAATTCCATTAATCATAGAATACAATATCATCACCAAACCGTCCAAACTAATACAACAACCAAATTAACCAAACTAAAGGTTAATCAGTTTGGTTAATTGGTTAACCAGATTAACCAATATAAAATCACATTATCATTGACGATGAAAATTTTATGGTTAATGCAACAATTCACAATTTATATAATGAATAAAACATAACAATCAACACGCAGTGAGGACAACAGTTGTTGTTAGTGAGCTTTCGTTTTTCTCGTTCTTTGTTGGTAAGCAGTCTGTTGTGGGTGGTGAGCCAGAGGAAGTGCTTTACCCTTGGCGGCCCCTTCCATTTCCACAAGTCCTTCCAAACTGGGATTGCATCCTCTTCAAGCTCATCAGCAGCAAGCTTGTACACTGATTTGAGGTGAAATCTCCCTTCAACTTCGATTCCCCAGATTGCTTTATCCTCCCCCAACTCAGGCTTTGGTGTCTATGCCCCTGCAATCATTAACAAAACATCGTTCGGTAAAAGATTCTCCAATATGCTCCAATCCCACTCACCTGAATCTGTGACCCAGTTTGCAATCGCCGAGTTTGCTTCCAACTCTAAAATCTCTCTCAGTAAGTGGTCCTCCAGGATCAACCCCCATTCAAGCCAAGGGTGCTTCCAAAATGCAGTAGTCCTCTCATCTCTAATACTTCAGGTCGCTGCTCTCTTCATGGGTTCCATGGCACGCAGAATTGCCCTCCAAATGGGAGAATGATTGCTTTTCTTCATTGAAACAATCTTCCCCTCTTTCCAGTTAAAGTATTTACCCTGCATAACTTGAACCCACAGAGCATACTCATTGTTAAAAACATTCCAAGAAAGCTTGATCATGTAAGCTAAATTCAGACTTCTCGCAGATCTCAACCCAAGCCCCCTTGTTCTTTGGGTTTACAAACATTTTCCCAAGCAACAAGGTGGACCTTCCTTTTCCCTTCTTGGGATCCCCACACAAACCATCTTATCTTACGATCAATGGCATCACACACAGATTCGGGGAGGAAGGAGGTGTGCATTGCATAGGTGGGGATTGCGTTAAGGACAATCAAAGCAAGCGTAACTCTTCCCGCTAGAGACAAAGTTTTGGCTTTCCAGGCAGTGAGTTTCTGGTTAATTATCCAGGATAAACCTAAACGTATTTCTATTAATCCTACCATGGAGGACAGGGACCCCAAGATACTTTCCAAGGTCAAAAGTGGCTTGGATTTCCAGCTTACCACAAACAACTCTCCTAGTCTCCTCTCTAACATTTCTAGAAAAGAACACCCCGATTTTTCCTTACTGAAAAGCTCCCCAGAAGCATCACCAAAATCAGTGAGGAATTTCATGACACATTCCGCCTGTCTAACATTTGCTTCTGCAAACAACACAAGGTCGTCTGCAAAAAACAAGAGCGACAGGGGAGGTCCATTAGCCGACAGTTTCATGGGTATCCATCTCTTTTCCCTAACTTCTTTACTAATACATTGACTAAGACGTTCAATGCAAAGAGTAAAGAGGTAAGGGGATAAGGGACATCCCTGACGAAGTCCTCTACTTGGCTTGAAAGACTCAGTTTCACCGCCATTCCAGAGAACTTGCGTAGTTGAGGTCAAGACACAAGCCATAATGATCCTGATGCAGCTCTCGGGAATGTTTGCTGCTTGGAGAGTCTCTTCAGGAACCTCTAGTCAATGCGATCATATGCTTTGGCGAGATCCACCTTGAGCAGCATTGTTCCTTTTTCCAGTTTTCTTCATCATGCAGTGAACAGTTTCATGCAAAATTAAAATATTTTCAGTTATGTGCCTTTTGGGAACAAAACTTGAATGAGTAGGGTTAATGAGTTTGTTCATGAGTGGTTTCAGCCTATTCACAATGCATTTAGCCACCACTTTGTAATCAATGTTGCAAAGGCTGATAGGCCTAAATTGGCTCATCATCATGGGAGCATCAGTTTTGGGGATGAGGGCTAGGAGTGTCTCATTGGCCCTGCTGATCTTTCCAGGTTCCATGAAACAGTCAACAATAAACTTGTAGAAGCTCTTTCCCACCAGATTCCAACATTTCTGGAAAAGAGGGCATGGTATTCATCTTTGCCAAGGGCTTTCATGATCTTCATTCCCATGATGATTTGTCTAACTTCTTCCATACAGGGAGGTTCTCCTATCCTCGCACAGCATGCTGCCTCAACCCTGGGGAAATCAGCCACAATGCTATGTCGGCCTTCATTTTCCTCACTTGTGAATTGCTCACAAAGAAATCTATGGCCATTGCTTGAAGAATGTCTAGATCAGTGACCCAATCTCCACCATCGTCTTTGAGCCTCATGATTCCGTTCCTCTTCCTTCTTCTTAAAGTGTTGTTGTGGAAGAATCGGGTATTTAGATCACCATTGACAAACCAGTTGGCTCGGGATTTTTGAAGCCAAAGGATTTCTTCCTGCCATAAGGTTTGCTCCAACTCCTCTCAAACTTCTCCTTCTTTCTCCAGAGAAGGTTTAGAAGGGAACTTTTCATTCACGCAATCCAGAGAATTTAGCTTGTTGAGCAGGGGTTTCTTTCTTCGAAAGATGTTTTCGAAGCTTTCTTTGATCCATTTCTGGAGAATGTCAGCCAGACCCTGCAAAGAGGAGCAGAACTCGCTACCACTGTTCCAAGAAGAATAAACAAGGGGAAAGAAATTATTATGGGATAACCAGGGGGCCAAAAATTGGAAACGTCTCACCAGTCTTTTCTCTTTGTGCTCTCTCTTGCTGCAGGTCAAGATTGGCCTGTGATCAGACTTAATCTTAGGCAAGTGGTAGTTGGTTGTGTAAGGAAAGCATTGGTGTCATTCCAGGTTGCACAAGCTTATATCGAGCCTCTCTTTGATTCTAGATCCGCTAGTAAACCAGGTGAAACGAGGACCATTGAAGCCAAGGTCCATCAAACCACAATCCTCGATGCATTCATTAAATGCCCTTGTTTTTGCATAGTTAAAGGGAGCTCCACCTTGCTTTTTTGAAGAGTTTGTAATGGAGTTGAAATCTCCCAGAATCAGCCAGGGGATCTTTGTTCTTCGACTTATGCTTCGGATGGCGTCCCAAAGCTCCCCTATGTCATGCTCGTTGGGGCTAGCGTAGACTGTCGTGATATTACACCCAAATTCCTCGACTGACCCCAACAGCATCTGAAACCTTCCATGAGTTTAATAATGGAGATGGTGTCTTTCCCACTGACTCTGGGTTCCAAAATACACACCACATTTGGGGAGTGGGTGGCCTTAAACAAATCAAAGGTTGAACGAAATTTGGGGTGCTTAGCATCCCTGCAGTTCCAGGAGAAGACTTTAATCATAAGACTGATTAAGGTGGGCTCCCCTCTGACCAAGCGGCTGGATCATTCCGTGTCAACAGCCATAACTGTCTCATTTCTCTCTACTCTATCTCCATTGCTGGCAGATTGACTTTTGAGAACATTTTCAGGTTGTTTCTTCAGGTTTTCTGGGCTTCGACTGAAATCAATCTTCCTTGGATTCCCTTTCCCATTTTTTGGGGATTGATGTGGCTGATCTTTTGTTGACCTGTTGTTCTCAGTGCCTTGGATTTGCTTCATCTTTGGTTGGTGTCCAGCTTGGCCATCACCATTCAACCCTTTCTTCTTCTCCTGAGATTTAGAAGAAGGGGTGGATTGGATTCTTCCTTCCTGTTCACCATGATGGCTATTATTCCTAGCACCAACCTCTTTTTTCTCCTTTCCAGAAGGAGCTCCCTTGCTAGGATTCTCAGCAATAGGAGGGGGGTTCCCTACCCTCGCTGTCTTAGAGGACTCTAGCGTCGGTTTTTGGTACTCCTTTTTTATATTCTGCTTCTAGGTTTTCCTGCTGACTTTTGTCTCCTCTTTGATAGGCTTTTCGTTGCCACTACTCTTTCTCATTGAGTTTTTTCCACATTATCTCCTTGTTTCTCGCTTTCCATACTCTCCTTCAGTTGCTCATTAGCTTTTTCCAGCTCGGGTTGATCAATCATTTCCTTGTCATCACTCTTCTGATTCGTGGTTTCCAGAGGTGCTCTTTCATCGACAGCCACACTACCATTTTCATCCTCATCTTCGTCTGAATCTTCATGTACTTCAAACCGTGATCCAGATCTAGCCTTGACCTTCGTATTAACTGTGGTTCCTTGGCTGCCTTCTTCTTTCTTGTTTTTGGTTGGTAGCTCCTTCCTCTTAGGTCTGGTTGCAATCATCCACGGCCCGAAGTCCTCCATAATCTCTAGTCTCAACTCTCGTCGGAAATTAGTTTCATCAGTATGAGTTTCTCCTGTTTCCCTGGTTCCCCCTCTTTGTTTCGTTAGGCAGTTTTCTTCCAGATGGCCATGATAGCCACACTCAAAGCAAACGTTGTGCAAGCCTTCATATTCAACCCTTCTCACATGCCTCTTCAATCTGTATTTAGAAACTAGTCTTTTTCGCAAGTCAATTTCAACACAAATCCTTGCATAGTTACCTCTGAACCCATTAGACGTGTTGTAGTCTATCTTCTCCACCCTACCAATTTTGCTTCCAATGTCCATTAGAATTTCTTCATCGAAGTAAGCCAGTGGGAGTCGTGGGAACCTAACCCACACTACTGTTCGATTGATAACATCATAGTCCGG